ATATAACCATGTGTGACACGGAAGGCTGTGCAATCTGTTGAAGATGGATTTTATTTTTTCTTGTTAAAATTTTTTAAAGAAAGTAATCAAAAATCGAGTCGGCTGTTAGATTTCCGTAGTTACACGGATAGCTGGAATTGTTTTCTCCGATATCTTGCGATCTCGTGCAATGAATTTGGCCGAGGCTTATCGCGCAGTTTGTCACTTTGAACGACTCGGCTGCGCAGCCTTCGAGAGAAGGAAACCGATTAGTTTCTCCACGATAAAACAACAACATCGCGAAACCACATTCGGAAGTTGTCCATCAAAGACAGCTTTCAATCAGGAACGAATGCCAAGACTTATTCAACTCTCGGAAGCTACGGCTATAATGAGATTATAATAGGTGTATGTATTTGTGCAGTACTTTTTCCTGCCTACTCTGGCCAACCTCAACGCGTTTATGTTCACTACCTGGTGGTACTGGTGCACTCTGGGCACGGCGGAGATGGGGACGTGCACACATGGTGCCCTAAATGCGCTTGGTCAGGACCCCACCTGCGCAACTCAAAAAGCCTTCCTTTTCCCTCAGAAATCGTTTACTTAAAGGCAGCGATTACGATAAAGAGGGAGCATATGCACCACACGAATCAGTTACTTGGCTGCCAGGGAAGCGAGGTGTAGCGCTTTCACGACGAAAGGTGCGCTGGTTGCTGAGCAGGACTTCGAAAGCACTCCGCCCCCAAAAGCGATCCGCCCACTAGTTTACTTGGTGATTTGGACGAGCTGCGTTGCCCAGCAGCGCACAACTGGAGCATCTCTAATAAGCGTGACTTAAGCCTTTTACAAGACTCAGATTCGGTCGAGTATGGCTTAGAGGACGAAAAAATCTTGTGAAGGTGAAAGTAGGAGTAGAGGTTGAATGTGAACGCTGGGCGTGGCACACCCGGATGTGGGCGGAGTTTGCGGCGTAAGTAAGATGTACCGAGCAGAAAGCTAAAATCAGACAAAAATATCTGATGATGGCCCGATTCTACCGCTGCAGCCCGTCTCATGCACGCGAAGTTATGACGTGGGACGCCAAGACCAAAATAGGTCTCAAAAAGCGTTGTTGCTGGCATGGTGCTAGTAACCCCCGGTACGATAACGTCTCTTCGTAATTCGATTTCTGAGCTATGTTACCAGTGTTACCGTGGCAGTGAAAACAACCGCGCCAAAGATGAGGGTCCGTGTCCACGTTAGCTCGGATGGGTTTTCCACGTTTTTGCAGCTGGGTTGTGAACCATTGAGACATTCTCAAATTCTACAGTAATCGATGCTGTAAAAGCAACCTGGGCCACCAAACTTATGGGGCCGAAGCGGATGCAACAAGTAAGGTCTTTGCGGCATCAGCTGAAGGGTTGTTACCCACAGCCGAATAGAGCGTCAGCGCCATTAGATACGTATACGATGTGAGGAATTAGTTTAGCACAATGTCCAGGATGCCTTCAAACGGATGAATGTGACAAACTGAGGGGTTATTAGGTTTAACAAGCCAAGTTGAATTCGGTAGTGATTTAGATGATTTTCAGAATTCGGAGGAGTGCATCAGTGTGTAAAAGGCAAAAGAGCAATCCGTTAGGAATCGTTTTACGCTCTCTTGCCTGTGAGACCAAACCACATTTTGTGCGCTTTTCGGCTTCATAACTAAGTTTATAGAATCATTCAAGAATCACCGAATCGACAGGGTTCTTCCTAGGCACTTTTTCTAATGAAAGATCTGGTGGGTGAAACTATTAGTGATCGAAAAATTAAAGTGAATTTCCCGTCATTCGATTTAGGAGAGATCCAAGAAATGAAGTTTTCCAGAATTCTTTCGTTACAGACAAATGGAAATCATATGCAAATCGACATTTTTAGACCACAGCTTCTGAGTGGTTCGCCGCTTTACAGAAGATCTAAAGAGTTTACTTTCATGGATAGAGATGCTCTCTTTCGGAATAAATGGTGCCATATGAAGGGTTATTAAAGAATACCGAGATATACCGATAGAATGGCAGGCGGGTCCCCTAAGGGTGCAGGACGATAGTTTCGCATTTTTCGCAGCCAAGTGTGTGCCCAGAGCGGCCTAGCAGGCCATACCCGCGCCACTCGCGCCGCGGCACGCCCACCCTCTCGCCGTCTGACTCTAGCCGTTAGCAGAGAGAGCGTTAGCGTTGAAGAGGGCAGCACCGATGAGAGTCGCATCAATGCGGAAATCAACGGACAAGGAGTCCCATTTCTCGGGTTCCGAGTTTTCAATCATGGCTTCTTCTTCATACCTGCATCAGTGACCACCTGTCTTGATTTGTAATAAGCCACCTTTCATCTTAAACCCTGACTTTAAGTCTAAGAGAGTTATAGGTTGATTAATGCCGAACGTTTTAGTTTTTATACTTTAGCACAAACTATGGGAGAAGCGTTTATTCATTTATTTATGATTTGAGCAAGCCCTTTTAAAGTCAGTCCTTGTCCTAGGAGTCGAAAACCAATACAGTAGTTAACATTCTTAGTGGCGCGACCTTGTGATGGATTGGTTCCATGGTGGCAAGCCATTTTCATCGGTTCAGAAATGATAAACAAACGCCGATGCTGGCAAGTCCCCATGGAAGTAAGTTGATTACGGTAGACGCGTCCATGTGCGCGCCAGTTTTCCCCGCTTCTGAATCTATCACTGTTTTGACGTCTCGACTAATTCGGGCGGTCCGGAGAGATTTCCAGCAATAAGCGCAGATAAACGCTCCCTCGAGACTGGCTGCCTATTATATTTGCAAGGCGAAGAAGTAAACTTATGGCCTATGGTAGCGACTCAAAACGAGCGCTGGCCTAGTTTTCAACTCCGAAGGGGCTTTTCCTATATATACGAAAATATTATAATTTGATATTATCATAGTTATCAGACTGAACAACGCCCGATCAATGAAATGTGGTGCTAACTTACCTGCACTCTGCTCTCCAGGAGATCTAGCCGTAAAGCGAGCGCCTCTCTCATAAACACATCAGGATAGTGACTGGCCTAAAACAGGTTTTTAAATGAGTCCTACTTTCAATCAATAAAGGCACATAGCACAAAAAAAAACCTTGACAACTCCAGAGCAGAGTCGGTCCTATCGATGGTACTTTTTGCAAAATTTTTACGACCCCCTCTTCACAACTACTTTTTCCCTCGAAAAACACCATCGAGCGGAGGGGGGGGAGATCAACGTAGGGTTGACCCTGCTAAAGAGTAAGCATTCGACGCAATGGCCTGGTGGGGAGTGGCACCAGTACACACTGGAATCACTGAACGCTCAGTTCGGACTAAGCTCTGAGGAGGAAGGCTTCGCGTTGTCGGAAACCAATTTTCCCGATTCTCGAACACGTCCTTGCGCCCAGGTATGTTAGCCCTAGAGGACTTTCTACAGATAGCCTCTCCCCCCCCCACCCGAGCCACCTTGTGCCAAGCATTCTAATAACGTTATAGACTTTCTAAGATTCTGTGATATACATTCTTCGTGGCGAAAAATCCTCTGAATCGATCGTGATCTACCACAAAGATCACAGACGATCGCGCGCGAAATGGCAGTATAAAAGGAAAGCGGCAGGGAGATTTGTTACTTGCGATACGTTAAATTTGCTTCTTTCTTATTCCTAAGTCATTCTTTGTATTTAAAGAAATTGTCGTGTGAAGGCGCGTAAAGCATAAGAATACCCGCTAACAAGACATACCCGTGCTATCACAAAATGGAGCGCATTGTGATGACCATGCATTTTCAAACTGGTTTAAACATCTCCCTTCTGACAGAAGTGGTACTGACAAAGATAAGACCTATGTGGAGAATTGGGGGCTCCAGATTACGCGAGGAATTGTTTTATCTCTGATGCATCCTGCCGCTTCGGAAGTGGTGTAGTGGCAAGTGGCACGCTTACCACGCGAGCGGTCCGGGATCAAATCCTGGGTCGTGAGTCGCCCGGGCCAACCAAGCCTTCCATCCCTCCGGGGTCGGTTAATTGGTACCAGACTTGTCTGGGAGGATAAAAACACTGACTTTGTACATCGGCTGGCCCCCGCAAGTCATTGTATAGGCCACATCGCATTCAAACGCCACTACGAATGTACAAATGGAAGTAGAATGCGTGCCGCATCCCAAAAAGGGATTGATCAACGGCAAATGCTTTATCCTTTTTATCCTATCCCTATGGCTTCTCCTAGGAATGCCCCTCTTTCTTGCGGATGAGCCATTGTTCATGTGAACAACGTTTAAAGGAGAAGTGTCTTCCCTCGGGTTATATTGAAACGGAAGTCAAAGCTTGAAACAACGACGTTTTGGGCCGCTAGCACTGCCTCAGTATAACAAAAATTTCCATTTATAAATATAATTCGCCAATAATTACAAATATTACTTCTGTTTTCAATGGTGTTAACAGGGAGTGGAAAGCCACTTGAAAGGCTTTGAGAACCCGAAACGTCGCGCCATAAGCTATAGCAAAATCACATCAATATAAATAATAATAAAATCACACTTGGGAGAGGTGAAGTATCTATACTCGGTGCGATGCACGCATGTATTTCTCCGCACATTTTCAATATGTTTCATAACAAATGTTACATGCCGTTTGAATAAGGTAAATCAAATTAATTATTAATTCAAAGTCAAATTATAAATTTTCCAAAGAGCTATCCATTCTTTCGTATTATTCGTATGTTTTTATACGGTTTTTATAAAGCGCGACAGCAAAAGTGCAATTTAAACCACAAAACAGAAGTGATGTCTATAGAGATAATGTTCGAGGTAACATAGAATGCGTGCGTGATTTAGGAAATTCATAAAGTAGGGTGAAATCTCCCCGAGGATCGGTTACGATTGGGTAGGCCGTAAAGGCTGGTTGAAGACCAAGCCAGGGAGAAAATGCAAATACATTTCTCGTATATACATGATGCATATCCAAGTTTGTTGGTAGTAAGTGGACAAGAACTAAGTGGACAAAAACTTCTATTTTGTTCTACCTTAGCATATCCCGCGACTTTCGACAACCTATTCGACTATTTCCCCTAGAATATTCCTTATTTCAATCGATATGTAGTTTGAGCCAATCAGATCATTGCGGCGAGATTTCGCTATCTATATACCAAGGTTCATTTGCCAGGCTTTAGCTGTTTAGGTTTTCGTAGCAGGATGCTCCATTTGGGCGTTCACAGATACGCTGTGTCTCTTGAACACCCACATGGAGTACGTTGTTGCCACCTCTTTCTTGTAAAACTGTAGTAGAAAAAAGGGCTCATTTGTCCTACTATTTACTAAAGTTGACGCGATCGTAAAATACGGGGCCACTGTTGGCTTAGTGCGCTGCGTGAAAACGTTAACATTCTCTCTTTTCTGCAATAAAAAAAGTATAGCCTCAGCGACGGAACGCTCGTGCGTGAGCGATCTTACATATCCTCATAACTTCCCGACTCCTCCTAAGGCTAATAGTAGAGCTGCCCCCCAGCGATAGCGCCAAATCTTGTATGTAAAATTTTTGGTGTAAGTCTCTAACCACCTACATGAACCGAGCGCCGACATGCTTCCACACAGAACTTTAACTGCAAAGGTCAAAGAGGAAGATACATGAAAACAGAATCAGACCTTCTTCAAGGCAGAAGCTATGTTGCAAAAGACATAAAAGAGGTAAGAAGGGCAAAAAGTAAAAAGAGAGCCCGATTTTCTGAAGAGGTGAAGTGAAGGGATGAGGAGCTAAAAACCAAATCGTGTCGAATAACTGTCGAAAATTATGGATAGCAAGCGAATGTGGTGATATAGTTAGAAGTCGGATTTGCAAGTTCGCAAAAATCCCTTTAATTCAATTTTCTTATTAAAAATATGAAATATTCATAGCGAAAACCTCATCCTGATTTTAGATACGATAGCTCTTGCAGAACTATCGGCTACAAATTAATTTTCTGTCTATATCTATAAGATTTGCTATCCGACCCATCACAACTTCATTTCGAATAGAAATCTGCGAGATGTAACCTCAAAATCGCTTTCCAGCTCCTCCATTCCAATCCTGAGAAGATTGAGAGTTCTCACGTTTTGCGCATGGCCGTATTCACAATCGGGATAGCTCTGAAGATGTGCCGTGTAGGGTTTAATACGTAAGCAACCCATACGGACATTAAAAGGTATGACCTTCAAAATGGATGTATTACTTGGGCGGCGAAGCTGCCCGCTTCTGGCTTGCTGTTCGAGCTTCGAGACGAGCCACTTGGTCCCTCGGCGGTTTCCGGTCGGATCACCAACGCTGACAAATGCAAAGGAATTTGCTTGAAAGTCACTCTATAGAACCCCAAATTGCGGCTTTTTTGCCTTCTCTGAAGGTGAATGCTCCAAGGCTAGACTACAGCAGTTCTATTCGGGCAGCGGATTCATGCGCCTCCACATCCATGTGGAGTTTTTTACAGCTCTCAACGACACAAATGCAATCGGCGATGCAGTAAATTACGCCGACATTCAAAATTCATCACTTACAATTGAATGGCGAGCCTGTTAGGTTGAGTTGTTTTTGCCAGTATTCATTCCACACATCTTGGACATTCACATTCGAGAACATGAAATTTCTGAAAGAGAAAAAAGTGGACAAGAGAGAGTTTAGCCTGAGCACCGCAACGAATAGGACAGAGGGTTGGCTCTCCTGAGGTGAAATAAGTGATAGGTGTGGAATCAGCTGAGTAGAATTGGCTACCGTAACGCTTCCGGATCTGGGTACATGGCAGTGGTGAGAATTATTTTTAAGCTTGTGCGCCGATTCTGATCGACCAATAAGAGACGAGGATATGGGCGGCGACTTGCCGAATCAGCAAGCAATTAACATGCTAATAGGGAGGGATTTGTCCCCCGGAGACGCATCTATCACTTGTGGATGCTTGCGCAACACCACCGACTCAATCATAACTGAAACACGAGTTGAACGTCGTCTACCATACGATTATTCCTGCCAACGAAACAGACGAGAAACTGGTGAAACTTTCAGAAACTTTTGGTGCCTAGTAAGGCGCCAGAAGTGGACTATAAGTAGCGCTGATCGAACGCTGAGAGTGCTGAGCTTCCGCAAAATGTCGGGTCCACTTTCAGGAATCACGGCCTACAGTAAGCATTAATAATAGAATAGTATAGTGGTGTTAGAAGCATGAGCGCCAGAGCATAACTAATGAAGCGCTTGGGATGAGCAAAATGCCTATAAAACCCTTCCAAAAAGTTTCGCAAGTATGCTTGTGTGCAAAACACTTTGCACCAGCCGGGATCCGAACCCGGACATACTTCCTCATCAGGCAAAGGTGCTATCCTCACACCTTCCATAATTATCATTAGCCATACGAGATATAGTCCCCATGCTAGTCCTAAAATGGCAGTTGCTAGAATTTTCTAGTAGTTATATAAATCAAAAACAACATGCTATTATCGGTTACTAGAAATTAGAAACAAGATAGAAAAGTTTCGGCCTCTTTCGCCTTCGTCAGAGCCTGAAAAGTCGAAAAGCAATTGAGACCGATCCTTTCATGGGCCAAACAATCCTAGAGACAACTTCAGGCTCTAACGAAGGCGAAGAGGCCGAAACGTAAGCCTAATAAAAAGTGCTGAAATCTTGGTCAGGCTACAGCAAAACTATTCGCATCAACTTCCATGCCAAGATTAAGAGAAAGTCGTTCTTGGGAGATAGAAACGGTTTTAGATTCCTATTCTCAACTTTATTATACTCAATATCATTTCATATCGTTTATTATTATTTAGTATGATTTTATTTCATATTTAACACACCCCGTGGTGCCACGAAATTGTTGGAGGTAAACACAACATATCACCTCATACCGGCTTTAGGGCTTATTCCACTGTTACCTCGCGTCAAGTCGTCCGCTGATTTAACCTATATGATCTCCACAAGTAAATACCTAACACAGCTAGAGCTATAGCTAAGACTAAGGGCGCCAGAATACAGCAACCAAAAAGAGAAACGGTAAAGGAATTGGAGGTACGGTACTCGGATGAACGGAGCCACTCTCGGCCCTAGAACTGCTTCGGATTTTCGTGAAGCGAACAGGGATAGGTGTTCGCTAGACTGAATAGGGGATATCATTGAAAACTTCATATCATTAAGCTTTATTCAATGTAAGGTTCAATGAATATTTGCCATGTCTGGGCTAACAATAATCGATTACTGTCTGGTAACAATACCACCAACAGCGAACGTCTGTCTATGAATTTGAAAAACTATTGCCCGATACAATTTCTGTAGAATTTGATGTATTTCGGAATAAGGCTAATTTAATTGTTTTCAATTTTGAGTTTAATAGCTATTGACTCGTTTCTCAACGAATGTCGTCGAGCGCGTTCTCTTGCAATTATACCCAAGACATATTTCAATTTCCTGGACGTCTCCCAATTTTCCGCACCCATGAAATTATTTAAATGAGGCTGAAATAGAATACATATGTGCTGCGCAAAGCAAATTGCGGAAAGATGTGTGGGCAGATCTGCTGGGGAGTGGAGGGGAACGGGCGGAAAAGAGGAAGCTGTTCTTCCGAAATGCTTTCAATTTATTTCTGCCCCATCATTTCATATCAACTTACACTTGGATGCACTTTCGTAGTGCTTAAAAGATAGAATCTGGCGAAATTGAACTGAACGCGCTTGCGGGTTGTCCGCATGGACTTCTCGCCGTCTCGTCCATGTGTCAGAGTGTCCGCTAAGGGAGTGGCCACTTATTTTGTTCAGATAGATGTTTCAGTCTATTCCCACCGGGTATAGACTGTTCATCCACTTCTCGCGCACTTACGCTTCTGACGGCTCCTGTCACGACGCGCATGCTAATGAGCTCATGAGAAACGATTAGGATCTCTTAACACGTATTGTCTCCTTCTTGATTGTCAGCTCTATTAAGCGATACTGACTTTGACTTCTATTAATATTACGGTAGCTTGGGTACCCTGCTTAAGTTGCCCTGAGGAATCAAAGATCTAGGGAAATATTCACTTTTCAGCCTAATTTAAAATCGAAAAAGTCGCGGCGCCTCAGCAGCTGCTGCCACTGCGCTTGTGCCAGACAGC